TGGATCGACCCATTCTCCCGTTACTGTGGCCATATATCAAAGCTAACTTCCGCGGCATGATGATGATGTTGATGGTGTTTTCGGGGATTTGCCGAGAAACATGTTTTCTTACAGATCCAAAAACGTGGCCAAATGATCCGTTTGCACACCGTTATGTAATCATTAGCCTATGACATTTTGTGCAGAAACAGAGGAATTTGTTGGACAATCTGTCGGTCTTATAATGGTTAACCTGGATGGGTAAACCGATTTTCTTTTGCGTACAGCAGAGGGAGGTTTGCGGAGCGCATTGCAAACGAAGCCACATTTGGAGTAAAAACATAAAATGGAGGCACTAGAAAACGTTAGACGTTTTAAATACGAAAATAAGTAATCAAAATTCAAAGTCATCTGACAGTTTCCGTCTGCATTGCTGATGGTTTGATGATAAGGCAGAGCTGATAGAGGCTGGAGAACCGCCGGCTTTTAAAGTCTGCACGGTGACCGTCTCGCTACCGGAGGGTGCGTTTACTCACGATTATCGGACGGATCATGTGTACGTCATGATTTATGCAAGGTTTAATGGGTATTTATGGAAATATTTCATATTTTGATCTCCTGCTCCAGTGGGAAATGGTCCGTTCAAATCTTTTTTGGGAAACAACTTCATTTCGGCCTTTTAATTTTGCCGAAAGCAGACTGTTATGTAAGAAACCTTGTTGACGGATGTTAACTAAGAACAGTTATTTCTTCATTTTGACGAACTTCAAAGATATATCTGAGAAGTAGTAGTTAAAATACCGCTCAGGAATAATTCGTCTACGATAATGAAATTCAAGATTTCCTTGAACTTAACTGTATACATTAAATTGCCCTTACCTCTGCCAGTCAAGGAGAAATGTAGTTAGTTCATGGTTCTGTCCCGAACGTAAGAGGACAGAGGACTTTGTCGTGCCTATTCTGCACACCCGCCTGACGAATTTGTTGATACCAGTGATATGGCGTGAGTTATTTGGGTAAGATGTGGTTATGTAACCCCACCTGATGGACACGATCCTGTTGAATTAGGGTTTAGGGCTGCGACTAAGGGTTAAGGCTGAAGGGTTATGGTTAGGGGTTGGGTTTAGGCGGTAGGTTTGGGGGTTAGGGGCCACGGTTACGGGTTAGGGCAACTATTCCTCAGTCACTCAAGTTACAACTGCTCGTTCCCAATAGCTTTTCTTTTGCATACAACTGCATGGCCTCGCCGCCTGTGAGTTCCCCGACCCTACCTGCAAAAACCTCTCTATTACCACCGGTTCCGTATTACAGATGGCTGGTTTTTTTCTGCCTCGGGTGGGGCTACATAACCCTATCTGACCGTTATTTGTTCCATTCACTCTAAAATACTACAATGGGTCGGGCTGGAACGTTCTCCCTCACTGATGTGAGGCCAAAACACCCTTAGGAAATTCTGACACCTGTCATCGAAACCAGGTCGTGCATGACACGCTCAGACGGACTGTTTAACCTTGTCAGCTACTGTGTCCGAAGCCAACTCTTGACGTCCGGCCAATTTCTTGCCCTCAGAGACAGATGGGTGGGTAGAGTGTTGACGAAGGAGAAACGATCGCTGGGACAAGAGCTTTAATAGTCTGACTTTTCGGATTCCTGCTCGGACCCATCATCAACTCACCCGTATCTGCTTTTGTCTCTGATGATAGGTCCGAGCAGGAATCCGAAACGTCAGACTAATAAAGCTCATTTCCCAGCGATCGTGTCTCCTTCTTCAAGACTACTCCCTGGGACTCGTCTCTTCGTTTCTATTGGCAAGGAGAGAGTATAGTAGACTTTGTCGCGTAGTGCACATGCCAACGTCCTACGATCACTACGTGGGGTCCATGATGGACGCCATCGTTCGGGACAGTAAAACACTCAGAGTTCAGACGAACACCACCTGAGACTAGGAAAGAAAAATGGGAAGTGAATCATAGCTTTGGAATGGTATTTCTTGAAAAATAGTGGACACGAGTACTCAAGTCTCCCCCCTCCCAAAGTTTTGAATATTAGTTAGGCGCATACAATTTCAACCCCCCTATGAGACCGTGGTCATGTCTGAAGAACCAGGAGTCTCGACTCGACCGCTTCGCTTACCTCTTTGCGTGCTCAAAAGCAGCCATTAGTACACAGCATGCAATCAACGACCGCAAACCACCCCAAATATTTGCATTTCAATTTCACAGTTGTAAAAGCTGCTGCTGCTGATAAAACGACCTTTTTATGGCATTGAAATGCATGGATTTGAGAAAAAGTTTGCTTTTTCCTATCTATTCCCTCTCATCTTGCC